TGCTTGGCAAGATCGCGCGCCCTAGACTTCCTTCAGGATGTCCGTGAACTTGAACAAATGCTTCAATCCGCTCGGGTCAGTCAGCCCAAGCAAGCACGCATTGATAATCCCGCCAGGATTTTTGCTGATTTGAAAGCCCCGCGCCCAGAGCCAGTCCAAATGCTTTTGGCCCACACAGTGGCCATGGTGGAATGCAAAGATCAGGAAGAGTGTGCAGTTGAGCTTGATTCAGCAAACGCTTTCGAGCCAGATGCTCCCATTGAACATAATGGGGTTCCCCTTCCACTAGTCCACCAAGACACTGATAAATTATGGCTAGCCAATATGCCTCCCCTCCAAGTGGGGGACAACCTCACACAGACCGTGCCTTTGTATGATCTTGATGCCATATACCAAGCATTTCAGGCAGAGTGGATGAGACGATGGGACCGTCATGCCCACACGCCGGATACTAAATGGGAACCCATAGTTGACTTTGTTCAGCATGCCATTCCGACGCCGCCTAGTATGCAATATAAGGTAATTGACTTCGAGTGTTGGCAAAGAGCTGTTCGCCAAAAGAAGATCAAGGCCGCCATTGGCCCTGATGGAGTGTCACGGCAAGAGCTTTTGGCCCTCCCACGCAGCCATGTTGAGCCGATCTTGACACTCCTTGCCGACATAGAGCAAGGCCGTTCCCTCTGGCCACAGCAGGTGGTGACCGGCCATGTCCACGCCCTTGAGAAAATTCCGGGAGCTTGGAAAGCCAGCCAGTACAGGCCTCTAACGGTTTTTTCGATAGTGTATAGAACCTGGTCGTCCATCCGTTCCAAAGAGACACTTGCTTACCTTAGCCAATTTGTTTCTGATCATGTCACAGGCAATATACCCGGCAAGTCCTGCACGGACCTATGGCTGAACATTCAGCTTCATCTTGAAGAGTGTGAAGTAGATGATGCCCCTACAGCCGGGGTCGTTGCAGACCTAGTCAAAGCATTCAACTTGCTACCACGAATCCCCTTGCTAGCAATAGGTTTGCATCTCGGGGTGGCTCGCCCAATCATCCAAGCATGGGCAGCCGCCCTTAAGCAAATGGCACAGGCCTTCAGTGTCCGGGGCACAATCGGACCACCGCTGACCACCTCCACCGGGTTCGCGGAAGGCTGTGGACTCAGTTGCGCAGCAATGCTCCTGTGCAACATCGCCTTGTCTAAGTGGCTATATATCAGGTATCCATCAGTTAAATTGTGGTCTTACGTTGATAATCTCGAACTAACTGCTTCGAGTATTCATGAAGCCGAACGTGGCTTGCAGCTTATGACCCAGTTTTGCGATTTGCTTGATCTCCAATTGGACGAGGCTAAAACCTTCTATTGGTCTAATGATGCTGCTGACCGACAAGCAGCGCGTCAAGAGCACTTGCCTTTGCAATCCTCTGCGCGTGACCTTGGTGCCCACATGGAGTACGGTCACCGCAAGACCAATCATGTGCTCAGAGCCAGGGTATCCACAATGCCGCGCATTTGGACTGCACTGGCCAGATCGCCAGCCCCATATAGACAGAAAGTCCATGCCCTTCGAATCAAAGGCTGGCCCCAGGCGCTCAGTGCAGGGGCCTCCACGTGTCTGGCAGATGCACATGTCCGTGCCCTCAGAACCATTCACGCACCAGGCATAAGCCCTATGGCTCACCTGTCGTTAGTTGAACATCCTGCCACCGATCAGGGTTGTGCCTTGTTGGTCCAAACAGTGGCAACATTCCGTCGTCATGCAAACCTTGACCAGGTCAGTAATTTGCTGGATGTGATAGCCCATGAGCAGTACACAAGACCACCCCGTCCGGGACCATGTCATGTCTTGCTTGAGAGGCTTCACTTCATAGGTTGGGCCTGGCTGGGTCAGGGATGGGCTTTGGATCATAATCAACAGCCAGTAGCACTCCTGCATGGATCGCAAGCTGAAGTCATTGAGCGACTTTATGATGGCTGGCAACATTGTGTGCAACAGTGTTTAACTAAAAGAAAAACATTTCAGGGCATTGAGTGGGCATCCCCAAAGTTCACGCTAGAAAAAGCTGCCGCTTACTCCAGCACCAAAATGGGGCTCCTGCGTAGGGTCTTGAATGGAACCTTTTTCACCGCAGACACACAAGCCCATAATCATAAAGCACATACGCTCCAACGCAAGTTTTGTGGGTGTCCAGACTCCCAGCATCACCGCTTCTGGGAATGCAAGCAGTTCGACCAAGTGCGCCCCCCACCCCTGGCTTACCGCCAAGGTGCTAGAAGGAGGGCTACCAAAGTGCCTCACGTATCATGGGTGGATTTGCCTTCCCAGTTCCGTCAGAGAGCTGCATCAGGCCCTTCAAAACTGCCCGGATACTACTGATTGGCTTGAGCCACTGCCATTTCAGCCAACAGACCTCTTTCTCGATGGATCCTGTTTGAATCCAACCTGCCCATTCACCAGACTGGCAGGATGGGGACTTGTCGCGGCTCACCCAGCTGATCCAGACAAATGGTTTCCGCTTGCCCAGGGAAGAGTGCCTGGAAGACGCCAAACCAGTGGCAGAGCTGAAATCCTCGCTGCAGTCAGTGCTCTCCGGTACGCGCTCCGCCATGGCCACCAAGTCCGGCTGTGGTGTGACAATGCACAGGTAGTGACCACCTTAAAGCAAGCCTTGTCGACCCCAGATGCATGCAAGCTAAGTCACAAGGACCTCGACCTCTGGACAGTCCTGTGGATGCTTGCCAGATCCACGAATGGTGCCCTTGTCTCTATCCATAAAATTGCGAGCCATCAAAATAAAGTCACGCAAATTGGATCGAACAATGGGCATTTACAGGTAAAGACAACGCCGACCATTGTGCCCAGTGGAGTCTCTTGTTTCCTCAGGACCTCCATCACAAATGGAGGTGTGCGACTGATGACATTGCAGCAGCTCGTATCCTGAGAGATCAGGTTCACCAGAGCATGATCCGGGTCAGTGAAGAAGCGGTTTTACGAGATCAACCTCCTGCCGCTGCAGACCCGCCACAACAGGCCCATCCATTGCCTGTTGTCGAGACAACCATTGCCGCTCTGCCTCGTAGACCTTGTACCAGCACACACAAGCTCGTAGGAGATAATTGGGGTCTCCTCACTGCATGGTCCAATAGCTTAATCCACCCGCATTCGTCCCGTGGTTTTTCCTTTTAGTTGACTTTGTCCTTCAAACGGGCAGTGGAGGCATCAGGCCCTCCCATAAGTTCTCTAAATGGCACTGGACCACCCAGGAAGACGCAAGCATGTTCCCACTTTTCGAACGAACCAAGTGGTTTCGGCTGTTCCTGATTCGAATATATAAGCTTGAAGGAATCCCAATCAGCTCCACATACGTCCGGCCCTCATCGTCGACAGTGGTGTTTTGGGCTCACTGTGCGAGCATAAGGTTTGCTGCGGAAAGGCTCCAACGCCTTGAAAGATTCTTGCAACGATTTCGTGCCTCGTACCTCACCGGTAGTGATTTGTCTGACATTTCACTTTAGTTCACCCGGGCAAAGGCTGCCCCCGCCACAAGCTGCGGCGCCTGCATCTTACGGAGAAACGGAGAAATGGAGGCCATCGCTATTAGGTTGGAGGCCATCGCTATTAGGTATAGGGCGGAGGCCATCATCGTTATTAGGTTGGAGGCCATCGCTACTAGTTTGGAGGCAATATTGCTACTAGGTGGGCCATCGCTAGTAGGGTGGAGGCCATCGCTAGTAAGTTGGAGGCCATCGCTATTAGGTTGGAGGCCATCGCTATTAGGTTCGAGGCCATTGCTGTTAGGGTGGGAGCCATCGCTATAGTAGGGTGGAGGCCATCGCTATTAGGTTGGAGGCCATCGCTATTAGGTTGGAGGCCATGGCTATTTGGTTGGAGGCCATTGCTAATAGGGTGGAGGCCATCGCTATTAGGTTGGAGACAATTGCTAGTTGGGTGGAGGCCATCGCTGGTAGGTTGGAGACCATTGCTATTACGTTGCAGGGCATTGCTATTAGGTTGGAGGCCGTCGCTAATAGGTTGGGGGCCAATCGCTAGTAGGGTGGAGGCCATCGCTATTGGGTTGGAGGCCGTCGCTAGTAGGGTGGAGGCCATTGCTAGTAAGTTGGAGGCCATCTCTTGTAGGTTGGAGGCCATCGCTATTGGGTTGGAGGCCATTGCCGTTAGGTTGGGGGCCATCGCTAGTAGGGTGGAGGCCATCGCGATTAGGTTGGAGGCCATGGCTATTTGGTTGGGGGCCATTGCTAATAGGGTGGAGGCCATCGCTATTAGGTTGGAGGCCACGGCTATTAGTTTGGGGGCAATTGCTATTAATTAGGTTGGAGGCCATTGCTAGTAGGGTGGAGGCCATCATCGCTATTAGGTTGGAGGCCATCGCTATTAGTTTGGATGCCATTGCTATTAATTCGGTTGGGGGCCATTGCTAGCCATCGCTATTAGGTTGGAGGCCATTGCTCTTCAGGAAGGCTGAGTTGCATCAGCCATTTCGTACGAGACAAGTCTCACCGACTGGCTGGTTGTCCAGGAGGGAGGTCCTTCGACCTTCGGGTTCAGAAGTCGTTTGTATATTTGGGTCAGCTTCACGTCAGTGAGACTATATCGATGTTCAACAACCACAGGGTCTCACTGGGAAATTTAGCTATTGGTACTTGCAGTGGATTGGAGACGCCCAAGTGATGCCAGACTTGTCCATCAACAGGTGAATTGATGCTGTTCGGTTGGTACGCACGCATCACAGCTACACCCTCCAAAACCCTTCACAGGTTTGGAGGAACCTGTTGTCCCGGAAGCAAGCGATAAATATATATATATCGCAATATGATGGTCTGGTGGAGAGCAAACAGTTCTGTACACCAGTGAACAGCAACTGCTTTGGCTCTGACCAGGATGAATGACTAGTCGGAAGTCGCCGAAACCTCTTCATGCAAAGGCTGTTTGCAAGGGCAAAAAACGAAGAAAAACATCAACAAAAAGTCTGAAAATCCATTTGACACCAGGAGTTGAACAACGGCCGCCTGGCGATGATGGCCATTGTCGGGCTGATTACCCAGGCTGGGCTTCCAACACCGAGGTTCCATGTTCCATCCATATAGGTCTCCAATTTGAAAAGACACCGGAAAGAAAAAAATCATTTCCTTCCCGCTTTGACCACAGAAACATACAGAAACTCCATCCTTACACCGCCATTTGGCGCTGTTCGACGGCAGGATGTTCTCTTTGGCGATTATGGGCAGAAGTTTGCAGCTCTGAACTGGGACAAGAATTTCTTCCCCCCAGACCAGGGCATCTATGAGCCTTTTGCCACCTTCTCTTACCCGACGATCTTCCCAGAGCTCTGAGGAGGTAGGGAAACGTAGTTAGGGGGCCGAAGAAAGAGATCGGGTTTCACTAGACGACCGCTTCTGGCGGCGATTTTTTTGGAAAAAGGAGTCCAGTTGCTGGACATGTGCCATGCATCGCTGCGTGTGTGTGTGTGTTACTCTCGAACTTTGAGGATGGGAGCAGCTGACTAGTGAGTAGTGGGGTTCATCACACGGCAGCGCACAGTTTCTGGAGTTCAAGATCCGAGCTGAGTTGGCATAATTAAGCTCAAAGGAGTGTGTTGTTCAAAGAATGCGTCCAAGTTACGTTGCTCTAGAAAGATCCGTATGTTGCATCAACCACTCTGCTTGTAGACTCAGTCACCTCATTCACCTCATGTTGGTCTCGTTTGCTCTCGGGCACATTTTGAGCATCAAGCTGCCGCAGCTGGATTGAGACTGTCAAGAATTCCATCTAGGTCTCCATTGTAGATTGGGCTTCTCTACCCCTGGGATCATTTTCATCGCTAGCAGGTTGGAGGCCCTCACTAAGGCTAAACCTCTTGAGTATCTTTTTCGGGGCGATCACTGGATGGAGCCATGCCGAAGGGCGATGGGTGGCCTAGACTTTCTCCACAAGGACAGCACCGACAGAGAATGCGAAGGGATGCCTCTCGCACTCACTTTTGGGAGCTAAATGGTAGAAGAATCAAACAACTTGACCGGTACATAATGTTCGCGAGTTCCCCACGGTTCTTGAACTCGTTTATGCCTCCGGGTCGGAAACCGAACGCGTAGTCGTTCCAATTATGCTTTTCCGATGATGAATTGTTGATGGGTTGTTGATGAATTGATGATGAGTTGTTGATGTAACGACAGAAGGTACTAGGGGAGGTTCGGGGGGTTGGGAGGGCTCGCTTCGTTCGTGTGATCAGTAGAACACGATGGTGATGAGTTGTTGGTGTGACGACATGTACCAAAGTCGCTCTCTTCGAAATCTTTCCTCATTGATCGAAGGATTCGGTCGTGGCAGTGGACATGTGAAAAAACGGCAAACAAGCGCGCGAGTTGTGCATTGCATTTCCTGTGGGCTCCTACATCTTTCTCAAAAAAGCATTCACGAAACGACACCCTAAATTTAGGAAAAGTAGATAGACTTCATTGCAAAACACATGGTTTTGTAGGGCGCGAAGTCAGGCTCCGTGCATAGGTGACAAATAATGGCCTCAGTCATGCGGCGGTCTCTTGTGTGACCGTAGCCTTTCTGTGCCGTAAGGCCACAGGATACCACAGGCTAGCATTGCCTTGACCCGGCCCTTCATGTTGTATCAACCTGTTGGGTTCCTCAACCCGATAGTTGATTACAGTAGGAAGGTGTAGGAAGATATATAGCAAGACAGGTTCTTTGGCAAATGGCCACCACCCATCACTGGCCTCAGGATGTGCTCTTCAGCCGTGAGTTGACCTTGCCAGACTTGACCTTCCATCGTATGTTGCGGTTCACACACTGAGAATGGCACTTGAGGTTAGGATTGAAGGCCATTTCTCACACAGCGCAGAGAGATGACTGTTGTTTTTATTTGCGTATAGTTATAAACTGGTGTTGTTTGGTGACTTTACAAACGGCCTTCAGTCTGCCTGTTGGAACCAAACTCGTCGACCACCTCAGATCAATCCAAGCTTGAAGAAAAGATCGGGACAAATCAAAGAGGGCAGCATTCTTGTAAGTAGCCTCGAAATAAGCATGCAAGACATTTTCAGAAAATGGAACCATGGAGATGTCTAGAGTCTAGAGACTTTGGAGAAGCAGAATTGATTAGCCTGCTTGGAGAAACCTAATAGCAAAGGCCTCCAACCTAGCAGCAATGGCCTTCCACCTAGTAGCGATGGCCTTCAACCTAGTAGCGGTGGCCTCCAACCTACTAGGGATGTTTCATAGAAGCAGATTGTGCAAGTGTGAGTGCCAAATTATGTCACAGATGGCACTTGTGATTCCAGGCAGATCTTTTGGCATGGAAGAAGCTGTACGGGTGTCCTGATGCAGGAAACCTCAGTTTGAGAGACCGACATGACTTATGAGTTTCTCCATCTCCCCATTCTCACTGTCCGACATCGCTCCTCCAGGTAGCTTCTTGTTACTAGTAGTAATGCACTTAGCTTCTTGCTGCTAGTAGCGATGCACCTGTTTCTTCTTTCGTGTTTTCGCACCTGTTTCCTTCGAAAGGGACACCGAATCGAGACGTTCCGCAGTCACCGAGGTCGGAGAGTCTTCTCCATCTTCTCCTCCAGCTCGGTCCGACACTCGGTCAGACCGGTCCGCCATTTGTTGTTCCAAGCTGTTCCAAGCTGTTCCAGCCGGTTTGTCAAGCACCCTGGAAGGCTTCACAAAAAGGAAAACCATAGCTGTGAGAATCCATAATCAAATTAAGCTTTGGATATGGATTCAGGACTATCAGCCCGGAACCTCCCAGGCAAGCAAAGGTGGGCCAAGTCGGTCTCACCTTGCGTTCTTCACCAGGATCATCATGTGTGTGTGGCATTAATTGTTGCTGATGTGTTGAAAGGGAACATCCATTGCAGGGATTGTTCATTTACATGGAAAGCCGAAGTAACCCTCATCTTTTCTAGGGACTAACCTTTTCTGGATCTAGAAATAATGCCGCAGCAAGCAATAGCTTTACAGAGCTCTTTAAAAGCTGTCCTGAGTCAGGCTGCCTCACCACGTGTTGAAGTTCCAACACAGAGGTGGCGCACCGTGTTGTGCGATCGGTTTCCAACCGGAGCTCGGCTTTCGAACGGATCGCGAAGCCGATCGTCTCCTCGTTTCGGTCCGAGCTTTTCCAGGTCGGAGGCCGGCGTGGACGTGCCGAAGGTGCGAAGACGAAGCCCGGAAGGAATGAGAACCGAACGCAGAGGTGATCGCAGAGGTGTCTGTCCGAGCTTTCTTTGGCCCTGGAAATTGTCTAGTGAGTTCTGTTGGTCTTCGGGTCACACACTTAAAAGGGCAAAAGGGTGTCGAAATAGATAAGGTATCAGAAAAAGAAGGGGCCTCCTTACAAGAAGGCCCTGGTTTTAAATGGTTTCAATGCTCTATTGCCAGCCTTGAAATCAACACGAATGTCGTTTGCTTTTCGATCTCGCAACTCCAGGCGCCGCCAATTGAGCCAGCCCCAGCTGAGCCGGGGCCAGAGCCTGCGGCAGCTCAGCCCGTTGAGGCACAAAAGGAGTCCCCACCAGAGGGGAATGCTCGCAGGACCTGACGCTCGCAGGTCAGGGACAGCTGACCAGACAGAAACCAAGATACGCACAGCGAACAAGGCCTGCAGAATAGCAGAGAGAATGGACATGAGCTGTGGATGTTACCTGGGAGATCGTTGGCATATTTCAGCCGTCGAAGAATTGCACCAGGACGGAAATGACAGAAAGCCCAGAGATGAACGTCCCCAAGGAGGCAAGGCAAGTTGAACATCCAGAGTGCTGAGCGTTCACAAAGATGGTTTGCAAGGCCACCAGTGTCACACCTTACGTCTCGGAGCTCAGATTTTAAGCAGTAATCTAGACATCACCGTTCGACTCGTATGAGTATCATGTTTGGTGTATCCATGTGAATCCACTGGAGGGATGGCCTTGGGAGAATGACAGATGCCTTGAGTTTTTGACTCAACCACCCCCTACTACTAACAAGAATGCTTTTATTGTTTGTTTTTCCCTCACTTAGTTTTTCTCTTCATTGGTTTCTTGACCTTTAGGCTGTCTTTCGTTCGTTCTTTCCTTCCTCTTTCAATGAATTCTGGAGTTTGTTACAAACAGCAGAGGCAGAGCACTCCAAAGACTTGAAAGGTTCCACCTGGTCGTCCAGAGAGGCCTCCAAGTCGAAGAGATCGCGCGCCCAGAGCCAAGATCGAAAAGGTTTGGCCCACCGCCCGGGCTTGGGCCGATCGAAGCAGACCATGCGTTTTCCTTGATTCGCTTCAACCACTTGAGGCAAGCAGCGCTGGTAGTGGCCGAAGCGCCAGCGCAGGCTCTGGGTGATGAAGCATTTCCACCAGATGGATGTATCTCTCCACTTGGCTAATCGGAAGCTACAAATGTAACAAAGGGCATCGCTACTAGGAGCAAGAAGCTACTAGTAGCTCCTGGCATTACTACTAGTAACAAGAAGCTACTACTGGCGGCCTACCTACGATGAAGCCTTCACTGCCTACGCTTGGCAGGCGCCGCCTGACTCCGGCCACAAAGCGAATTACACCAAACAGGATTGCTGGAAGCTGCTTTCTTATGAGCACACGGTAGGCACCACCCGATCCTTTGCCTAAGCCACCTTCTTTTTTATGTGACGCAAGAGATGTAGACTCACTTAAACAGGTTCTCACAAGAAGTTTTGCGCAGCTGGCAGAACACGGAAAGTCCAGCAAGACCCGCAAAATCCGGCCCAAAGGCCCATAAACATCCAAGCAACCAGGTCTATCCGTGTCACACGTTCCCAAGCCTCGGGAGGACCTTGAAATCGCCACTCAGAGCGCCCGCAGTCAGGAAGCCCCAGACGGCACGCTGAAATGCCTAGTAGCGTCCGATCGCTGATAGTAGCGATGCCAGGAGCCCCTAGTAGCTTCTTGTTACTAGTAGTAAGGCCAGGAGCCCCTAGTAGCGTCCTTGCTCCTAGTAGTAAGGCCAGAAGCCCCTAGTTGACCTTTCGTCATCGAACTGCCAAGGCAAAGCTGCTGGCGAGAACGGATGGAGAAGCAACTTTCAAGAGGCGAGGAGAACGGCTTCCGGCGATTGACTGGCAATCCTTGCAGTCTTTGTTTTCCGGTATGTTCTTTTTCTTTGTTGGCTGGCTGGAAGGGAGGTTTGAGTTAATGAGTGATTTTGTTGCCGAGGGTGTCACGGCACCAAGTGAAGTGAGGAGAGCGTAGATCAGAAATGGTATCCACATCTTATAAGACATGTTTCCACAGACCTGCTTGTCTCAGGCAGCCTTGAACCTTCGAGATTTCTTCCAAGATTTGAGGACAGGAAAGCGAGTCATTTGCAGTTGGCGGATTGTTTCTTTTGGGACGTGCGAGTGAAAAGATGTAATGTAAACACCTTGGTAGCGCAAGAAGACTGGCCAACATGTTGGGTCAATGGGGGGCTAACGAGCCCGGAAAGCTAACCTTCCCGACGACCCAACATGGTTTTCGGGGGGGTGACACAAAGTGCAATTGCAGTGGGAATATTCTTGGAAAGACACCGGACGTGGGAACAAAGTGACAAGTGCTTTTTCCTTGCGCAAGCAAGCGGTTGTTTCATGTTTCTCTCAGTCTTGAGCCAAACATGTCAGTCATTGTACAATGAAGAGTGAGACCATAAAGGGGTTAAGTAGTCATCAAAAGGAAACACAGGGTGAGGACAGCTTTGTTCGGGCTTCTACTTGCGTGACTGGACACTCGCGTTGCGCCTTCGGCTTAGAA